AGCAAATTATATCGAAATTGATCAAATAAGATATATTAACGATATATTATTGCGTTTTAAAATGAATGATGCCAATACAATTTCAACACCAAGTGATCTAAATCAGAAACTATCAATTGCCATGATAACAGATAAAGATGAAGAAAATGCCAACATACCATACCAAGAAGCGGTAGGAAGTCTACTATATCTTGCGCAATATACACGGCCAGATATTGCATTTGCAGTCAACGATGTAAGTCGCTTCAATTCAAATTTCGGCCAAGCACACTGGACAGCAGTAAAACGAATAATGCGATACCTCAAAGGTACAATCGGCTACAAATTGAGGTATACAAAAAACAATGATGAAATACATGGTTTTGTAGATTCAGATTGGGCATCAGATATTGATAAACGCAGATCATGCACTGGATATGTGTTTAGATTCAGTGGAGGTGCGATAACGTGGAACTCTAAACGACAAAGTACCATTGCATTGTCCACAACGGAGGCGGAGTATATGGCTGCCACTGTAGCTGCTCAGGAGGCCATATGGTTAAAGCAATTTTATCAAGAATATCAGAGATGCAATCAACCAATTATGTTATTTTGTGATAACAAGGGAGCCATTGATATTGCAAAAAATGACAGCTACCGAGCACGTTCGAAACATATTGACATCAAACATCATTTCATACGTGAAAAACTGAATGAAAAGACGATAAGTTTGCAATATTTATCAACAGACCAGATGGTAGCTGATAGTTTGACAAAAGCTGTACCGAAAGAAAAAAATGACTTCTGTGCAACCGAAATGGGTTTATACAAATAACAATAGGTGTTATTGTTTATCAAAATATTTTCATTATTAATATTTTTGTTTTTTGTGTTGAAGCAAATTTTATTCAGAAAGTTGCTGATGTTTCAAAAAAAATATTATTTTGTATTAATTTCAATTTAAAGCAGTAGTTTGTTTCTTCTAATAGTATGGTCTCACGTTTCATATTAAGTCCAACGATTCATTCACTATTAATTTCATTTTCAGAACGTTTTTATAAACTCGACGGCATTCAAAATCATAATTAGAATAAAAATGAAAAAAAAAATACATATTGTAATGGCGTTCATTCGCATTATATAATATATCGACCATGATATCGGGCCCGACTGCGAAAATAATCTAAAGAAAAATGGTAATTTTTCGCCGGTTTCAAGTGGAAAATGATGACCGGTGGAATTCAAATAGTTTGTGCCGAACAGCAAAATGAAACCGAATTGTTGCCGAAACGTCACAAGTAAGCGCCAATGTATTGGTGACAGATGTGTTTTTTCCTTGGTGTTTGTATTTCGGAATTTTGATTCTACATGTATTTGTAAAATATATTGAATGCGCGTCAAGTCAATGGATACGTTTCATGCCATTTGCTTTGCATCGAGTGAATATTTGAAAAGTACTCATTTTCTGTCTGACTATTTTATTTATTAAAGAATTTTTAGTATTTTTTGTCTTCCATTAATTTGTCTCATCTTAATTTATCAATTGAAGACAATTGTTCAATTTGATTTTAAATGCGCTCTTTTCCAATGTGAAATACTTTTCATTTACTGACAGAACTTCGTGTAGCTGTAAAAAATTTTTTTGATTTAAATGTAAATTGTTCTTCGACCGCAATTCATCGATATTATTTAATTATCTTATAAATAAAAATGAATCAAGTTGTGAGTTCGACGCAAAGTTTGTTTTTAAAACAGTGTCCGATTTTAATAGTATAATTTTTTCTTCTTTCCACTACAAGATTTAGGAACGCATTTTCGAAACTCATATGCAATACAAAGCACGCGGTCTCTATTTCATGGGTGGCGGAATGACATTCAAACATGAGTAATTGATTACATTATCAAAACGTTAAGTATTTTTAAATTAACTTATTTCATTAATTCAAGGCAAAACTACTTTTACATCCCGAATAAAATGTTTCATGACATCGAAAAATGGGAAGATGTGAAAAGTACCACACAAGCTGGAATGATAGCTGAGTAAGTTTGTATCTTGAATTGCCTAAACTCAACAATACAATATCAAATCAAATTACAATTGTTCAGGGCCTGTACTGTACACACACTCAACCAATGCAAAATTATTGGCACTTGAAGACGAAACATTGGTATTTCAAAACGATGTCAATCTACATAGATTGCTACAATCTACATTGTCCAGTTGAACTTTAAACACCATCAGGTATTCTTTATTTGTTACACTACTTCTAATAAAGGAGACGATGACAACAAAAGTGATAAGGAAAAAAATCGAAGAGCAAACTTTGAAACCAATGCGAACGTGTGCATACAATTCCATGGAATAATCATAAGCGTTGAATAAAAACATTTAAAAAAATGATAACCAATTTATTTTATTTAAATGCCCAGATAAATTTATACAAAAACAAAAGTTTGCCCATCTTCACCAAAGCAATATTAAGAATTTAAGGATCTTTCTAATACAATTTTATTCTCGATATCGAAAAAAAAACATTATACGTATGTTCTTGTAGATGATAAAATAAATGGAAAAAACTCTGTTTTGGGTTACACGTGTGATTGCAAACATGGTCTACGGACATTCGGATGTTGCAGTCATATAATGGCTTTACTGTCTTATCTCGGATAC